GGCCCGATGGATTGAGAGGCTGAAGATTAAGTTGTTTATAAACGTTAAGTTGCAATCATTTCAAAACTATTATTAAAAATTAATAACTTCTCAATTAATTCTTCAAATAACTGATGATGACTAAAAATTGATCTGAAAATATTTGTGATCAATAAAACTAATTGATTTAAAAAAACTTTTAATTACATTAACATACAAACAACCCAAAAAAACAGATAAGCTATTAAGCAGAGCATAAACAACCCAAATAAACTTAAACGGACCAACCAACCAACTAACAAACAAACACATACAAACAAATACAAACAACTGACCATATCTTCTATCCCATTCAGCAAATTAACAGCGGCCATCGCGATTTTGGTCTTTGCCTTGCTCTTCTTATAGGCTACTACGCCAAGCGAGATGGCCACAATCGCTATGACCGTTAAAATGCAGATCGGCAGCACTATGGCCAATATTCTGCCGCTGTGTTGACCAGCGAACGAAAATAAAAACGTAAATTGAGAAAATATCATTGTTACAATAACAGTCAATCTACTAATTAACAAAACACTTAACTGGTTGCTTGCTCAAACAATCCATCAATCAGCCAACCAATTGATCAATCACTCAGCTAACCAACCATCTACTCAATCGACTAACCAGCCAATAAACCAACAACCCAAATGGTCAACCAATCAATCGACCCACTAATCATCAACCAATCATCATTCACGAACGTTTTACTGGCATAATCATCTTCGACACATTCGGTTATTTTCATGCCGTTGACATCACGCGCAAGTTTGTGCGGTAAATTTGCCGGACAGTTCTCCGAACAGTTGAACTTGGGTCATGAGAAATAACAATAAATAATAATAATAAATATAATATTTACTATTATTACTAAATATTATCTATTTATTAAATGTTATTATAGAAAATAAAAGTAACTAAAGAGCAAGTAAAAAGTAGGTGAACCCCTAGCTCCTTATTCTGATAGTCATGGTAGACGATGTAGTGCTTACAGGTGTAGCACTGGTGGGGGTCAGGACCGTAGCACGTAAGGCAGCTTGTGTGGCACGGCAGGCAGGACCTCTCGTCATAATCTTCGACGTTTTTTCTTTTTATAGCTTTATTAATTTTAGTAGCAGTCGTAGTAGTGGTAGCTGTAGTTGTTGTCTTTGCGTGTGGAGTAATATTCATTATATTAGTTTTGTTGTTGCTCTTAGAAAAATGATCGTTGATGTCAACAGTTCCATTTCCTCCGTTATTACTACTGCCGCTACTACTTCTACTGCTGTCACCGCTGCTACTACTACCGCTACTACCACCACCACTACTACTTGTAGTGTTTTTAATGTTCGGTATTGGTGAGTATGGGCGATCTGTGTTGTGTTGGTAGAATCCGTCCCGACAGCTGCTAACACATTTGTCCTCTTCCTTGAAATGCTTGCACGGGTGGCAGTAACTTGTGGAAGTCCCATAATCCCAACACGCCAGACATTCCGGATGACATGGTTTGCAGCCCTTTGTTGGGTAAACAGAAATAAATCAATGTGTCGTTAAGAAGTAGAAAGTGGTCTGTTATAATAATCATGATTTAAATCAGTGTGCTTTCGCTGGCATGGATGGTGAAATAATTACAGATATGCTATTACTGATAAAAAATATATGTATATATTTCTTACAATCAGTATTTTGTACAATAATTTGAAATATCAGACCGGCTAAAGCGAACCTGCTTTCGATGAAGAGAGTGGTTGGATGGGTAGTCAATCAGTATTGTCCTGTACAAGCCGGTGGCACACATCTTCGTGATGGGCATACACGAGGTGGCATTTAGAGAGTCGCCAACCTTCTCAAACGAAACTAAATCGCAAGAGTTGCACGCATTCGCTCCGATGTTGTTCAGCGGACCTGTACACCCGTATTCTCCGCAATTTTTGTGACAATTTTGACAATGGTTATTTTTGTCAGTATATTTTGTTTTTGGACAGGAGGTTGTACAAGTGTCGCGGTCACGAACGAATCGACATGTGGTGCAGTTTTCGGCGCCCTGTTTGAATTAGAGCGATCGTTTTCAAGATGGTCTGATTAAAGCAAAATATTGATGATGATAACCGCCAACTGCAAATTATGTTTTTCAAACCGTTCTCAATCTGCGAAGCAATAATAATTAACAGCAAGACTAACCGGTCCATCACATGTATCCAAGCACTGTTCGTGACAGAGGCTGCAGGTCGTGTTCGAACTAGCGTAAGCCAGAGGAATTGATTGGCAACTGAGGACGCATTTGTTTTGAAATTTGAAGTTTCTGCATGAGATGCACTGGTGATCACCTGGTCCCCAGCAACCATCATCTGAACATTCAGGGTGGCACAACTTGCCCTCACTCTCTAAAGGGACGATTTAATTTGAATGATTGAGCATAACATAAAACTAGCTCAATTGTTCATTTAGTTAATTTTTTTTTACAAATCAAAGATAGATATTAAAAGAATAGCTTTGCTGATTTATTGAATAACTATTTTATCCAAACGACACAACATAATGAGAATACAAATTTTGTCGAAACTGACCGCAATTATTATTGTTGTTGCCAATTATGACCCTCTGATCGTCTGGACTTTTCAAGATGGCTGACCAATTGATGGATTGAACGTAGCACATTTTCTTGTTCCGACTAATCTTCACGTTGCCGTACTTGATGGCTGTCAGTGAATCCAAACCAAGGGATGTGAAGTTTGTTGCAGCGATGCCCAGAGAATGGCCGAGCTCACTATTTTGTTTTATCATAATTTTAATAGTATCTGCCTGACATGTTTTTATAACAATTATTAATGCAATGCATTTTAATAACGTCTGAAACAAAAGCGGCGAGATGGTTAAATAAAAGTGCCTGCTGGTATTTATGTTGCATTGACCGGGTTTGAATTCAAAGAGGTTACCATCTATCATGTGTGTGTGTGTGTGTGTGTGTGAGTGTGTGTGTGTGTTTATTTGTATTTGTGTGTGTGTTTATTTGTGTCTGTTTATAACTATCAGATAAAATAGATCGGCTATTTGAAACTTAGAATTTATGTGCACTAACTCTAAGAAGACCCCTCTGATTGTTTTCAAATTTTTCAGAAATGATAAACTCTCGTAATTTGAAGTGCGAAAATGCATCCTGACGAATCCCGTGACTTCCTCAACACTTTCCAGGTACTTCCATTCTTCCGAAACACTGAGCATGATGAAGTGTGAACAATTAATCGATCAATTGATAGGTCAGTTAATCAATCAGTCAGTCAGTCAGCTAGCTAGCCAGCTAGCCAGCCAGTCAGCCAGTCAGTCAGTCAGTCAGTCAGTCAGTCCGTCGGTCGATTGATCAATTAATTATAATTAAAATTGTATAATATAATATGAATAATAATTATAAATCATCTTACAAATATTAACCAAAAAATTTTATTACGAACAATGATGATGATAATAATAATTATTATCATTGTTATTATTATTACTATCATTATTATTGTATCGCCAATTGGTTTTTATAAACTTTAATCTTTCATTGTATAAAATTTTGTGGCCGGCTTCGTTTAATGATAAGCTGATAGAGACTGTTGTAAGGCAATCACACGACTTTTACTGTGACAGAAACAATTTATGACATAAATTCAAATATACATCGCCGCTCTGTTCTTTTTTGAAATGTAGTTTTTATTGAAATTTCATTTCATTGTTGTAACTATTCATTACCCTGTCCTCTGAGACAGAGGCGTTCTCATTATTATTATTATATTATGGCTTACTTCCACGTAAAATCGTCAAACATCAGGTTCCCATCCACCACTTGACAGCCTATGAAACTGCTGGCATTGACTGCAACCCCTTCGACGACTCCGAGGCAGGCTAATTAATATTCATATATTAATATTTTAATATTAATGAGTTATCTAATTAATGTTAATTAGCAAATCGGTTTATTCATTCATTTATTCGGGCATTTGTTCAATAATAAATTTACTACTCACTCACTCACTCACTCACTCACTTTTACGACAAGGTTTTTGTCCATCGGATCCGCACTCGACGCAGCTATCCCCGACGATCATGCTGTTTGCCGCGCAGTGTTTAACGCAAGCCTGTTTATCCATGAGTAGGTGGTCTGAAAAATGAGCAGCATAATCATATTTAGTGCATATTCACGAGAGGTGTCAGTCTGAGAGGCGTGGTTAGTGTGGAATTATTTATTCACCCAATGGTTGAATGGCTAGGATTTTAATGAGTAATTAAAATGTCAATAAATTGGTAATTGCTAGAATGTCATCGGAAAATTTCAATTGTGACGTATATAAAATATAAATGGACAAAAGTCTTGGAGCAAGATGGACTCCAAGAATAAAATTGCCTCGACAATGAAACATATTCATGAATACCCATCATCAACATTGTATTTAATTATGTGTGTGTGTGTGTGCGTGCGTGTCTGCGTATGTGTTTGTGTGTGTGTTTGTGTGTAATGTGCATGTGTCTGTACGTTCTGACCGTCAAGTGTGGATTACAGGTCTGTTTATAGGTCTATACGAACATTTTATTTACACGCATAAGCGCTGGCAAACAGTTTGGAGTAGATAAAAACTATAAAAAAAAATTGAATACAAAGGGCTTACTAAAATAAATAGACATGAACAATTTATATCATCGCCTGTGAGCAAGAATTAGTGCGAACATGATGTCTACAAAAGCAATGCAAACACAGCCAAACACACGAACACAAAAACAAACACACACACACTCACACAAACATACACACACACATACACACACACACAAACAAACATACACACAAACTTGGACATGGCTTAACGCAAGTAGATCCGTATGCATATTTATGCTTGGGGTTTTCTAGCGTTTTGTATTGTGGTGAATCGTAGATATGTTGGACGGGGCAGTTTTCTTCGCATACGCCATCGTTGTAAAAGTTTTTGCATGCCTGGTTGGTTATGTGATTGATATGTTGATTGTTTAGTTGATTGATTGATTGGTTGGTTAGTTGGTTGATTAATTGGTTGGTTGGTTGATTGGTTTGTTGATACGTTGGTTGGTTCGTCGATTGATATGTTGGTGACTTATTTGATGGCTGGTTGCCTGATCAGTTGTTAGTTTATTAGGTGCTTGCTAAGTTGATGAATAGATTATTTTACTTGTGATTCATCGATCTGCTGCTCTTAATCAATCAACCAATCAATCAGTCAGTCAGTCAGTCAGTCAGTCAGTCAGTCAGTCAGTCAGTCAGTCAGTCAGTCAGTCAGTCAGTCAGTCAGTCAGTCAGTCAGTCAGTCAGTCAGTCAGTCAGTCAGTCAGTCAGTCAGTCAGTCAGTCAGTCAGTCAGTCAGTCAGTCAGTCAGTCAGTCAGTCAGTCAGTCAGTCAGTCAGTCAGTCAGTCAGTCAGTCAGTCAGTCAGCCAGCCAGCCAGCCAGCCAGCCAGCCAGCCAGCCAGCCAGCCAGTCAGTCAGTCAGTCAGTCAATCAGTCAGTCAGTCAGTCAGTCAGTCAGCCAGCCAGCCAGCCAGCCTGCCAGCCAACCAACCACCCAACCAACCAGACACTTCCTGCTACTACCCGAACACCCGGCCGCACACTCCTTGCTGCAGCACCTCACTGTCGAGTTGGGCTCACACCTGTTGTCGCATTCGCAGTGCACCTTTGTTACTGTGGCCGAAAAATAATTTCAACATTTTTGAAATTGCTTTTAAATTTAATTACTTTATTTATTTATTTAATATTGATAATCCCCTAAATAATATATTTATATATTATTTAGGGGATTTTTTTATGCTCGCATTTAAACGAATTTTCATTTGGCTTTTGTTTGTAAGTTCAGAATAAAACAGAATTAACTTTGCCATGTATTAACTTTAATTTAATTTAAATATAGTTTAAATTTAACTTAAATGTAATTCAATTTTAACTATTATAACTTCAATTTAATCGCTAAACTCAACAGACTAAAGCTCACATGCTAACGACACCAAATATGCTAAATAAAAAAATACTGTTTTAGGGCCCCTCTCCAACTTACGTCGATGGCACATCTCAGGGCCTGGACCCCAGCAATAGGGCTGTCCAGTTAGGTCCGCACATGATGGGTGGCATTCGCAAGAGGGGTGCTTCGCCGTTTTATTATCACCTTTGAAAAATAAATGGTTGTTGCGTTAATTAATTAATTAGTAATTAATTAATTAATTTAATATTTATTTTATTGAAACGAGCAATAGTGTGGTGGGCATGCGAAAGAAGTCGCCAACATTTTTTCATCAAATTTATGAGACGGCACTGCGAATAAATGAGCCGTCATCACTATGTAATCCATCAGTAATCCATCTCCCACAATGGTAGTCTACTATCAATTTTCACTCCCTCATTTTGTATCTCATTCCTCGCTAACCACCAAACACGACAGCAGCTGTCGTCAAATAACTTTACTTTACTTTTAATTTAATTTATATTGATGACACAGATTAGATAATGTTGTGAAATAACCTCACAACATCATCTTCATCATCACAGACATCATCATCTTCGTCACCATCCAACCGCAACATCATCATGTCACAGACATCATCACCATTTTCATCATCATCCCACAACAGCATCATCATGTCATAATCATCCCACAACAACATCATCATGTCATCATCATCTCATAACACATCCTAACTCACAAATGGCATTGTTGCGGCTCATGAAAACTCTGCTGCTACCATCACTTAAGACGTCGACCCAATTGACGGTGTCCACAAATCGCAAGGCTCCGTTGTTGTATATCATCACGTCCCCTCTGCTAATTTCTGGGCAGTTGGAGAAGGACAAATGAGCCATTATAATAACTGGCTGTAATAATTCTTGTTAATTTTTAATAAATAACCATCAAACAGCAGAAATTTTGGTCGATTTTTGTTTGTTTTCCGATTTATAAACAGATCATTATTCAATCAGGCAGATTAGCTCTTCACATTCACTCCTGGCTTCAACCAACAAGGAAACAACAATGCCTGAGTTTGAACCTTGCAGTTGTATCATCAGAGAAATTGTCAGGATCTATTACTAAAAACATGCGAATGAAGTTAGCCAAAGGTAGAACGCAGTGAAACCACACAAAACAGCCTAAGTGAACGTTTTAAATGGTTTTAAGAACAAGTTTCAAACAGTTTCAATGCTTCTTTACAAGTTTTAATCGAACGGACAGTAAATTGGGATCAGTTGGCCGCGGCCATTCAATAAAAGTTTTTACTTCATTGACCTACATTTTATGTTCATTCATTCATTCGTTCGTTCGTTCGTTCGTTCATTCATTTATTCATTCGTTCATTTATTTGTTCATTTACAGACCAATTTTTATTTATTCATTCATCTTTCCACCACTCAACCATCCACCCGTCCACCATCCGTCCACCATCCATCTTCTTACCATGCAACGACGAAAAGCCCAACTCCTCCAGACCCATTCTATCGTCGTGAGTGAAATTGTTGCCGACGATGAAGAGGCTGCAGTTGTTGACGAAGCTGGAGACGCTGACGACGAAGCAGTTGCAGAGCTGCTGCCCTCGTATCAGCAGCAGCGAGCTGAGGTTCAGGTGGAAGATCTCGTTATACTGGATCATCACGTAGCCTGTTACCTAGTGGTTCAGAGATGCACCGTTGGTCGTGTAACTGATCCCGTAAATGATGAGATAACTGATCAGTTAGATGACCAGCAAAGAAAGATCTTATCAATTATTCAACAAGTAATTGACTAACTAATTAAATTGAAAGGTTGAGAGGTTTTAAGGAAAGCTGAGTAAAAGAGTAATAGATGCTCAACACGTAGATGTTATCTGTCGACTAAGTTTCTAAATGGGTGAGTTCGGTTATTGAAATGAAGTTGTGTAGTTGTTTAAATGGAATATGGAAACAACATCGATGTTAAAACAACTGGCAAATGAAGTCAAACCCATAAGAAAATTTTAAATTTAAAAATATAAAATCGGCATGTTACAGCGTATACGTTAGAGAACGATGAATCCGATGTATAGAATGATGTATCTAATGTATAGAATGATGTATCTAAAGTATAGAATGATATATCTAATGTATAGAATAATGTATCTAATGTATAGAATGATGTATCTAATGTATAGAATGATGTATCTAATGTATATCGATGAACTAATAAATTTTCTGGAAATAAAAATTACTCTACAAATTCAGCAAAAAAAGCTAACCTCCTTGATATCTTTGAGGAAGCCGAGGTCGAAGCCGGCTTCTTCATCCTCCTGATAACCGTCCTGCCTCTTCACGAGAAAGTTGATCTCTAGGTTGCCGTCCACAATGTTGCAATTGGTGTAGCGCTGTTTTAGAAACTCGTAGTAATTTTTGTGGTGCGCTTCGTAAGCGTGGCGGTAGGTGGTCCCTGGACATACTGTGTGTGTGTGTGTTTTTTTGCGTGTGTTTGTGTTTGTTTGCGTGTGTGTGTGTGCGTGTGTGTGTGTGTGTGCGTGCGTGTGTGCGTGAGTGAGTGTTTTTATGAGTTTGTGTGCGTTTGTGTGTGCATAAGTCATTAAAAACCAAAGCCAAAAATTTAAATAAAGGAAAGATGCGTTCACACACGCAATCAAAGGCAGACACACACACCCGCGCGCGCGCACACACAAACACACACACGCGCACACAGAGTCTAAGATAGACAAAGATATCAATTTGATTTATGGATTCATTGAAGGATGACCAAAAAATATACCAAGATCTAAGTGGATACCATCTCTCGAGGTAAAGGTAATGCAGAAGAGAACTAACAACACTGACGTCACCAGCATTTTTAGATGTTATTCTACAGCTACAGACGATTCTAAGTTTTGGAGGTCCGCTATTTCTTTTCCTATTTCTATTACGTATTTCTATTTTTAAACACGGCCGTGAGATCAATTTCATCAAATGGATAGAAGAAATGAAAAAAAAAATTATTAAAGCAAATTGTCCTTGTGCTACTAAGGAAGTTTACAATTCCACACGTACATATTCACAGTCACATACACCCAAACACAAATACACGCCCACGCACTCATGTATTGCATGTAAGTGTACATGTATATGCATGCATCGTTGTACGTATGTACTTTCAATTTTTATATTTACTCCTCTTTATTTATGAAAAAGGTTGATTAGGTATGTTATATTTTTATCGATTTTTTTTTCAGATTCATTATAACAAGCTGCAAGTGCAGACGTGTGCCGATGGAGTTTTTGTTAGTTTCATACTTTCAAAATTAATGGTTAATATCGCTATTTCTATGTCAGATTTAATGCAAATTTTAATAAAAACAACAACATCAACAGCAACAACGACAACAGCAACATCATCAACAACAACAGCAGCAGCAACAACAACAACAGCAGCAGCAACAACAACAGCAGCAGCAGCAACAACAACAGCAGCAGCAACAACAACATCAGCAACAACAACAACATCAGCAGCAACAACAAAAACAACAACAACAACGAGACAGCACCAGCAACAATCAGGTCAAAAATAAAACAACAACAAACAACAACAATCAACAAGACAACAACAAGAACAGTACCAACACCACCACAGCAACAACAAAATGAGGTCAACATAACAAGCATTCGTTTTAATAGTTAAGTTGATGTTAAGTATGTGTCTGATTTGTGTGTGTTTGTACGTGATTGTGTGTGTTTGTGTGTGTGTTTGTAAGTGTGTGTGTGTGTGTTTGTTAAATTGTGCGAATTGTAAATGTATTGTATTTATTTTAACATGCGTGCAGTGTATATATGTATGTGTGTATGTATGTTTGTTTGTGTATGTATGTATGTATGTATGTATGTATGTATGTATGTATGTATGTATGTATGTATGTATGCATGTATGCAAGTACAGTACATTGTATATATGTATGTGTGTATGTCAGTCATAATACGGTTATTTGCTGCATGCACATGTGCTATCGAGTTTGGTAATAAAGAGGATC